CGCGCCGGAGCTGCTGACGCGCGCGGGCGTCACTCTGTGCGTCAACGTCTCGCGACAGCAGCCCGGCCCGCGCGCCCCCGGCGTGGCCCAGCTGCGCGTGCCTGTGTTTGACGACCCGGCCGAGGACCTGCTGTCGCACCTGGAGCCCACCTGCGCCGCCATGGAGGCCGCGCTGCGCGCCGGCGGCGGCTGCCTTGTCTACTGCAAGAACGGCCGCAGCCGCTCGGCCGCCGTCTGTACCGCCTACCTCATGCGGCACCGCGGCCTCAGCCTGGCGCAGGCTTTCCAGGCAGGCGGGGCCTGCTCGCAGGGGCGGGGCCTGCTCGCAGGGGCGGGGCCTGCTCGCAGGGGCGGGGCCTGCTCGCAGGGGCGGGGCCTGCTCGCAGGGGCGGGGCCAGAGCGCGACTTCCGGGGAAACCAGGCTCCTGGCAAGGGGCGGCCAGGCGCGGACCTGGGGCGCAGGGTTGAGCCCCTGTCTCCTTCGCAGATGGTGAAGAGCGCCCGCCCCGTGGCCGAGCCCAACCCGGGTTTCTGGTCTCAGCTCCAGAAGTATGAGGAGGCCCTGCAGTCCCAGGCCCTCCTGCCCAGGGAGCCTTCGGGACAGCCCCGACCTGGACATGCCGCGCAGCAGAGTGAGCCCTAGCCGGGAGGGGCGCCCCGCGCCCCAGGGCTTCGCCCCGGAAATGCAGCTCTGGAGGGTCTCGGCCCTTTCTGCCCAGGTTATGCACGTGTCCCCCGAGGGGGCTCGCCCGCGCACTAGAAGGGGTCTGGTCGGAGCCAGGACCCCTGCGGAATTTCGGCATAAAGACGCTGCAGCGCGATGGAGCCCGGAGCCAGCCACGGGAGAGCCGCCCGCCTGCCTCCCCAGACGGCGCCGGGCCTGGCTGCCCACCCGGCGGGGTCCCGCAGCCGCCCCGGCTCCACTGCCCTCCCTGGCGCCCTGGCCTCCCTTCCGCAGGCGTGGGGGCCGACCCTGGGCACCGCGGCCTGCTGCTTGTGCTCCCACACGCCTGAGGACCGGCAGGGGAGGCAGCTTGGAACCGCAGGTGACCTGGACAGGTGGGCACACGACACCATCGCAAATAAAATCCTGTCGCTGGTGTTGTGCGTGTGTCACTTCCTGCACCCTCGGCCGGCGTCCTCGCTCCTGCTGGGCCTCCTATGGCCCACTCAGCCCATGCCCAGGGCCCCGAGTGGGCACCGTGCCGCCGCGCTCCCTCGCCCACACTGGAGGCCCCGAGGAGTCCCGCCGCCCCCGACTGCCCCCACCCCCAGGGGTGGGGCATCAGCGTCCCGCCCACCGGTGCACCCCCAGGGGAGGCGTCCCACTGCGAAGACCTCTGTTGAGGCGCACCCTGCTGCGGAGGTGCTGGGGTGACTGTGAAAGGGGTCCCCGCCTCCCGCTCGTGGGCCTCTGGCTGCGCGGAGACTCTGGCTCTGCTTCCGCACTTGGTGGACTGGCAGCCCTGCGGCCCCTCCCGGGGTCCCTGGTCAGCAGCCCCAGCCCACACGCCCCGTCTGTCCTGACCCACCGGACCCCACTAACATGGGGCCTGCCAGCTGCTGGCGTGAGCTGCGCCCTCAGGGAAGCTCCTGCCATGTCTCCAGCTGGCAGGTGAGGCCCCGAGTGCCCGCAGGGAGGTCCAGAGCCGGCGCAGCCCAGCCTGAGGGCAGACTCCTGACCTGCCATGTCAGGCCGGCGAGGGCCACAGGGCGCGGGCCAGGCAGACGCGGAGCTGTGGCCACACCCCCAGACCTCTACCCGCCGAGTGCCATCTGGAGAGCCTCACGCTCTGAGCCCACCTCCCAGGCAGCCTGAGTGGGGCCCCTGCGCCTGGAGAGTGACCGCTGCGGGCAGAGGCCTGGCCTCGCCCCTCTGCGCCTGCCCGCATGCTCCTCCCACTCCCTTCAGGGTGCCCCGGCGGACAGGTGCATGTGCCCCCAGACGGCCAGGCTGGCTCCTTGCAGGTACAAATGTGGGGTGAGGGTGTCCCACGTGGGTGAGGCAGGTAACCGCCACTGGGCCAGCAACGCCTCTGGCGCAGAACCGGACACGGGAGATGCCCAGGGCCCTCCAGCGGAGAGGACCCGCCCCTAGTCCAGGGGCCAAGAGGCTCAGGAGGCCCAGTGTCCAGTCACGCTGCGCGCAGGTGCTGGTGGACCTGCCCGAGGGGTCCTGGCAGCTGGGCGTGGGCTCTGGGGCAGCCGTGACGCCATTTCCACCCTGTCCTGGCCCCGGCACTGAGGAACTGGCCACCTGGGGCAGCAGGGACCATCGGAGCCCAGCTCCTCCTCTAGTCTCAGGTGCAGGCACGAGCCCTGGGGGTTGGGTGGCCGCCCCATCAGGGCGTGCCTCCTGTGAGGGCCCAGGAGCTGGGGTCCTTGCTGGGCGCCGCCCACACGCCCACCCCAGTCCGCAGGCCCCGGCGGTGGGGCAGGACTCCGGGGCGAGCAGTGCTGCCTCCCGCTCTGGGGGTGCGGCCCACGCCCCAGGCCCTTCTCCCTGGACAGGGTGCGCCGGAGGAGCGGAGCCCACGCCACCCGGTGAGCTCGGGAGCAGCGCCCGCCAGGGTGACCAGTGCCAGGGCCGCCGCCCCTGCCTGTGCCCTGGGCCCGGCCGGCCGCAGCAGAGCTCTCCGTCCAGTGTGGCCACCGCTGCGCGCAGCCCCACGGGGCGCAGCGACCTCGCCATGCGCGTCCTGACGGTGGCGCTGAAGCGACCTGGGCTTCAGCCCCGCGGCCACACAGGCTGGCGACCCCCTTGCCTGCCAACTGGCTTGAGGGGGCGCTGAGCCCGACAGGCCGCCCCCGCGGGGACACTGGGCCCCCGACGCCGGCGGCGGCCGCG